TTCTTACTGCTAGTCGCCTAGCAGATACGGCGCAGTTAAGGGAGGGTCTTCTAAAATTTCTTGATCGGAAGAGTGGTCTCGAAATCGGCCCAATTCCGTGTAGCAGGCATGGTGGAATAATGATCGATAAGAACCTTCTTCCGATCCGGACTTCAATTCCATTAATCGCCCATTAGAAACGCTCCACTTGCATCCAGAATCGTCTCGGAATAGCGAGGCAACTGAATGCAAGGCCAGAGGCAAAGAAAAGAACGCAAACCGAGGAAGACACATCCAACAGGAGGAACTTCAGCACAGAACTTTTCTTCTCCCGTGTTTTATTAGAGTGTGCAGTCGCATTTTGTGAGAATTTGAAACAGTACGATACAAAAATATTAATAAAGTCTCAATTTTTGCGCAAATTTTGAAATAATGCAAATCCCTAAAAATTCGACTAGAATCACATACGTTTTTAAAATCTTGTCTTGAATTATGAGAGTTCTTCACGGAATGTATCATCGCATTTAATGAGACAACATTGCATATTTTTAAATTTCTTGTCTGTTTCTATGATTTTGTTTACCTTGAGGCAATCAATATTCGTCGTATTATTTTCAGTGGCAGTTTTCAGGGAGGCTGTAACTGCTGAGGATTCTTCTGATCAACCTATAATAAACAGAACGTTATAAATTCTATTTCATTATCTATAGTGTATGTAATCTATAGAAAATCTGTTTCCTGTTATTATTATTATTATTATTATTATTATTATTATTATTATTATTATTATTAAAATACTGCTCACAACATATGCTGAGTTTTGAATTCTCTTAGTAAATGAACCGTTCCTCTTGAAGAATATTTTCTGTTTTAAAACGCGGCTAATTCCAATAATTTTTATTTTAGTTTCAGTTATCTTAATTTTTACTTTGTTAAATTTAGTAGCTCTTGACCATACATACGTTTATCTGTAGACAAGCTCGGTAATAAATGAGTCAATAATAATAACCATCATTATCATCATAACTTTAGTAGATTTTGTCAGTTTGATTTTTCTCACGATTATGGATTGAACGTAGAATGTTTAAAATTAAAAACACACTCATCCGTATGACGTCAACTTGACAGACTATTTCTTTTAACAGCTTTAAGGGAAAGTACACTGTCACTCTGCCATTGCTACTACTAAATTTGTATACTACAAAATGAATTGCGGACTTATCCATTCTAACTGCATGCAGATATACTAACGCTGCTAACAATCGTAGCATATGTCAGTCTTTTGATATTTTGAGCAGTAAAAATTTTTCCTGGAAGATATACCAACTTTATGTACTTCTAGATAATTATTTTTTACTTATTCCTATTATTACTTTTTATTTTATTTTATGTCGTATTTTTGTTATTGCGTATACGTGATATACGTGTGAAAAGTGTTGTTACTTCGAAAGGAATCCACCTAGAGGCTTCTACGGATTTACAGGTTTTCCCCCCCCCCCCCCCCGATTACTAAAAGTGGTATTTAGAGTACCGCTCTTCTACCAGTATGTACTCGTATGTATGTATGTATGTATGTATATATATATATATGAATGGATGAGTAGGTGGGTGGGTGGGTGGATGGATGGGTTTGCGCGTAGATAGTGCCTGGATAGTTGGATGTTTCAGCATTTAGGAATTAAACCTTCATAGATCTGTGCCGGTAAATATTAACATTCCAGCTCTAAAAATAGGGGCCATTCACATGGACTCAAAGTGACAAAACAGCGATTATCTCTAAAATGGATGAAACAATTTTGATTGAGTTGAAGGAATTCATAGAAACCATATCTCGAAATAAAACAGCATAGGTTACATCTTCAGGAAAATACGGTTGCCCGCACTAAAAGCCCAAACGCAAAATGTCTTGTTTTCTCGAACCCGGCTTTCCCTGTTGGCATTCAGCAGCCAATAGCGGTGTACGGAGCAAAATCGGTTCCGTTTCCAACATAACGTAGTCAAGGTCAATTGTTTATGAGAAAACATGTGCATTGTCCTCGCACCAATCTTTCCAATTATTAAAGCACAATAGACCGCTGTAGGTTGTGGTGCAAGGGCCGAGACGGCCCACCCTTATACATTCATTCATTTATTCATTTCAAATTATTAATGTATTCAGTATTTTTTGCCTGAAATATACTTCTGCTGTTGGAAAGTACTGCAATAAATGAAAATCATCGAATTATTATTAGGCCTGTCATCATCCTCATGACCATTATGCAGCAGAAGTTTTCCGCCCACTCTTTAATCGTGTTTTCTTTGTGCGTAACACTGTTAGGCTTGTGTTTTAGAATAATTATAATTGCACACCTTACTTAAGAGGTTTCACCTAGAAGCATTGTTTGTCATTCAAATTGGCTTTGTTCTGAAGTTCTCCCTTCTCTTTTGAACTGTTATTCTTGGAGGTCCTGTTGGTTATATCAGAGAATTCTTTTCGTTCCATGCCTCCTCTTCAAGTAAAACTTGTCCCCCTGCTAGATGCACTCCAACGGCTGATGTTTTTGTAGGGGGCGTTGACATGTTTGCAATGAAAACTGCCTTTCTTGATCATATTTATAAGTGTACCTCTTAGATGTTAAAACGTTAACTGTATTTTTTATCGCATCATAGTTAATGTGGTTGTTACAATTGAATGGTTATTTTATAAATGATACACGTTGCCTTGTTTTGTAATGTATGTATGTATGTATTTGTTTTGTTTCCTTCTTTTCTTGTGGTTACTTCATAATTTGCCAGTGGCCTGTTGAATAAATAAGTAAATAAATAAATAAAAAATTGCATTTGGATTGAATTATCGTCATCATAGTCATAGTCTTAGTCTTCTTTGCCATCATCATCATCATCACCATCGTATTTACTTGTAGCATGTTACAGTACTCAGTTACTTTGGGCCTTGGTACGGACACTATACCGTTCTTTTGAATTAGGATTGGTGTTACAGATGTCTAGTTTTATATTCCATGTGTTTTGTAACAAATTAATCTGTAGTACTTGTCTATAATAGGCCGTTAGCCATTGTCATACCTCAATGAATGAAGCGATGTTGTCGTTATTGTCATCAGCATCGAACATAAGCTTTCTGAAGTTCGAGTGCAGGAAAACTGAGGAGCTTCAGAAACTGTGGGTTTAAGTTAATCGAAACTGGGTGGCTGGGTCAAGAATTCGACGAACGTTAGAGATTAGAAACCGCCGGAATTGGAAGTAAATTGTACACAAATTCCTGGAATTACATTCACGTTAGAAATGGCGTTCCTGATGAAAGGCTTGAGTACAAAGGGCCAGTTGCTGCTGGACAGCATAAAGACGCGTGGTTGTGTGTTCCATTTAGAGTAACATCGCCCACTTAATCATTAACTACGCTTTTACGTAAAAAGTTTTCTTTTGTTGCAAAATTCACAGACGCAACAATAAAATATTTACGCCTTTCTGTGAACACGTTATGAGTCTGCAGGTACTGAAGAGGATTCCATAACTTTTGTTGTTGGATGTGTAAACTAGAAGTTTCTAGTCGAATTAACTTTGGGCCAGTTAAATGTACCCATTCTCCACACGAAGCTTTGGTTTGTAACATCTTCACTGTTTAAGTACATAATCTGGCTAATGAAGGAATTCCTTACTTCTCTTTCACGACTTCGACTTGTTGGGAAAAATTGGAAATAGAAGTGAAGGACCAACCGGAACAGTCAAGAGAAAAATTATAAAATTGGGCTGTAGTTTCTCACTCTTTAGTCTGTGTAACTTTGAAACAATATTTCCACGTGATCCAGTGTGATTATAGACGGGATTTGTATTGCAGTCTGAATTCATTGGCCACTTACAGATTGCAAAAGTACTTATAAAACTGCTAAACTCTACACTTTACAAATCACCACAATGGACGCTAAACATTCTAAGTCTCCTTTCACTGATCGTTTACCGGTAATGGATCCTAACAATCGATATTCTTCTGCTGTGCTCACGCCGTTACTCTCCGAAAAATTTTCCACAACTGCACTGTTGCTACAATTGACTAACTCACAGGCTGGCGGCCATCTAACACCAACATCCTAGTCTTCGCTTCCCAGACAGACTTACAAATGGCTACTAATTGAGATTAGCTCTGTCTAAGGAGCCCAACTGAGTAGTTGTATTCCCCCCGTCACCTGAGGATGGAAACAGATCCAATTTCCGAAAGGTCGTGTTTTCTATTTTCTAGAATACCGGACGATGGAAAACGTCCAAAAACCCAGTAATTATATGTTATACATCATCGTCAGAACCCTTTAGAATTTACAACTTCGGATGTGTATCCGGTAGTAAAGTAATTATATCTGCTACAGCTATTGAGATAATGACTCGTTATTTGACAGAGGCTGAACACACAGCAACAAATTAATTGTTATTGTATGGCACAGAGAAGAACAGTAACGTACTCCAGCAGTGATGCTTACACAAGAGGTGGAAGCGCCGAGTGAAAGGCTTCCAGAACGAGTTTCTGTTCTGTGTAGTTCCGTTTGTAGCATATCTACACCTGCGTTGTATTTGTGCTTCTAAGAGCGATGACTATGAACAGTTCTGTCTTCTGGGATGTAAAGCTTGCAGTCTGGTGATTCGTCGTATATTTTGGAGGAATATATCACCTCCATCTTCAAGGTCGAGTACTAAGCCAGGCAAGAAAGTAACATTAAACTCTGCTTACTGCCTTCTTCATGCCGGTTCTTGCTTGGATTACCCTTTCTCCCGAAAGACGAGGGCAGTATTTTCGTTGGAAAGGCTGGTGCGCTACTGCCAGATGAAACCATGTCACATACCAGAAGACAGTACTTATAATTCGTGACCGTCACACAGTTTGTGTGTCATCGAAATAAGGGCTGCTAAAACAGCAGGAATTGTCATTGTAACTTGTACTTTCGCTGTTCCCGTTAGAATAACGAGAATTATGCCATTTGGTTTGATGTTTTGTTTATATTTCCTCTAATTATGTGATATTATTCTGTTTTTTCAGAAACAAGTAACCTGCATGTGCTTAACCATACATCTCTTCTCGGTGTCTGCCTCAACATGCGGTAAGTAGGCGCACACAAATACTAATTTCATCTTGATCTTCTGTTAGAATAACACAATTAAATGATTCAACACAACGTTCTCTCACAAAAAGTATAAAATATGTTCTGAAATATATATAGAGTGTGGGTGCGATTTATTATAACAAAAGACGAGCGTACATGACATCAGATTATAAAATGTGGATGAATAGCTTTCACACAAGGTTGTAATTTTTCTCTCGATAAAATTAACTAAGGAGTTATTTTTCTAAACATAAGCCACTAACACGAAACAATGCGCCTGTAGAAGACGAATAATGAACATGGAACAACAGACCGGTTTAATCCGCTGATAATCTGAATGAAGCAGAAAATACAAGAAATTTAAGTATTCAGGAAACCAAGAGCTCATTATTAGATGGCAGTGGAATTCGAATGTCCAACCCTGCCATTATGCCTAATCCTAAGCCACCTCAATCCCTCACAAAATATTCCTGAAGAATCCTCCCATTTCTTCGGTCTTTCAAATGGACGTTGTCGAAGAGATTCTCCACAAAAATTCTGTAAACATTTCTTATCTCCTAGTCAAAATCACATACACAATCCATCGTTGTTTGTTAATAAGAATAGGTGATTTGTCTAGACTGTGAAATTCTTCATAATTTTGACTCCATGTGATGAATTTACGTTGTATTTCTGTGAGCTATGCATAATACCAGTTATCATTCTAGCGGCTACATCTTGTTCTCGGAAGCCGTCTCTCGCTTCACGATACCACACTTCCATTTCTCTATCCATGCTTCAGACCACACCCATCTCAAATTCCTTGATTTGATCACCTAAATAATATTTAGTGAATAATAAAAATTTTGCACTTCATGAATTATGAAAATTTATAGTCTTTTAATTACTGGTATAATTAGACTATTCAGAACTTTTCACTTGTACCTAAAATGTAGACTTTAGTACGGGTTGCAAAATTAATTCGAAATTCTCCGATGTGGCGTATACTCAGAAAAGCGCAATACAATATGAATGGGTATTTAATGTTCACTACTAAACAAGAATAACCGGTTCCGCCCAAAGGCATTGCAGTTTACATGTATATATAGAGTCAATAAAAAAGTTCCCTGAATAGTGGTATAGCACTCTAATGGTAGGACATACGGCAACGCCTACCTAATCACCTTCAAAGTAGGACCCTTGTGCGTGCACACACTTGCTGCATCGATCCTGCCATTGTTGGAGGCAGCGGTGGAAGGCTTCTTTTGGAATCTTTCGGAGCTCATCCGTCGCATTCGATTTGATGTCCTCCATAGTTGCGAAACGCGTCTCCTTGAGGCCCATTTTCAGAGCAGGAAACAGCCAAAAGTCACTCGGAGCGAGATCCGGAGAGTACGGTGGTTGAGTGATGACAGAAATGTTTTTCTCGGCGAGGAATTGCTGCACAGCAAGCGATGTGTGGCTCGGTGCGTTATCGTGATGCAGAAACCACTGTCCCTGCCATTTGTCGCTCCGCTTCCTCCGAACCGCATCGCGTAACCTCTGCAAAACTTGCACGTAGAAATGGACATTAACAGTACCAACTTCTTTCCCCAGTCCCGCGATGGTCATTCTTCCATCACAACGAATCAGCTGTCGCACTTTTCCAATCATTACTTCGGTTCTGGATGTCGAAGGTCTCCCGCTGCGCTAGCCGTCCTCTAACGTCTCCTGCCAATTCTTAAACCGGGAAAACCAGTCTTAAACTGCGGATTTCTTTAGTGACGTATCACCGTAAATTTGCTGCAGGGCTTATAGCGTCTCTGAAGCAGATTTTCCCAATTTGAACATGAACTTGATGTTCGCACGCTGTTCGAACTGCCCCATTGCGCTGAATGACCAACACACGTCTAAATCAAAAGGAACAGTAACGACACTGCACACTGAAACCTGTCCAGACCTGTTGCGCCTGCGAGCAGACATGCTGAGCTCCCCACCACAACAGTGTGTGCGCTATCTTACCACTCGTTCTCCGTCTGTAGGGGAATTCTAGGAACTTTTGACTGTCCTACGTATATTGTACCCATGCTAGATGTTAAATTTTATTTGTAAAACCAAAACAACTAACTGCCTGACTTACTTACTTACTTACTTACTTACTAACTAACTAACTGAACAAAATTTATGGACTTCAGTCTTTCTTGAGAAGTCACCAGTCGCTCAGTTACTAAAGAGTTTCCCAAAATTTAATGGAACCCGAAGGTTCACTACCATGTTCACACAGACCTTCCACTTTCCCCTATTCTGATCTAGATCGCTCCATACCACCCCATCCTAGTTCTCTAAGATCAATTTTAGTATTATCCTCCCAACTACGTCTAGTCTTCATAGTCTTCCTTCATTCTGTCTTTCCTACCAAAATCTATCTGTACTCCCCTTTTACCCATGCTACATGCCTGTTTATCTTGATAAGTCTAATTATATTTGGCGAAGAATCAGTGTTAAGAATAACCTCATTACGCAGTTTTCTCCACCCTCCTACTGTTTCACCTGATTTTTGTCTAAATAGACTCCTCAACGCCCTGTTCTCAGAATACTTTTAGTCTGTTCTTCCCATAATGTCAGAGACGAAGCTTCACACCCATATGACAACTACAGGCAAAATTATAGTTTTGTCTATAGCTAGGTTGCTAATAATGCGAGTTCGAATAATACGATATTCGATTTAGTACGAATCGTACGATACCAGGTCGCGCTTAATGCGAAACAAAATTCACTTAATACGAAGCTAGGGCATGAGCAGTTGAGGTTACCGCTAGGATTTCAGATGCTGCTAGTTCAGTCTATACTTGTATATCTTCGCATATGCATGTGTTGCTACCTGCTGTAATATATGTTACTTTATGTGTCTTGCCTTAATCGTTTTAAGAAGTGCCCTTTACGAGATGGAAAAAAGGAAGATTCCTTAAGATATAAACATTACGAGCGCAGAAAGGGCTCCTTAATACATTAGAGCAAAAATGTGATATGACTGAACGACATGAGCCTGGTCATCTATTTGTGGCTCTCGGCCGTTTATCCAATTTCTTGATCTTTCGCACAGTCGGTAGGACCCCTTGGACGGGGGATCAGCCTGTTGCAAGGTCGCTACATACAAACAAGACAACAGAATAAAAGCACACAGACATCCATGCCTCGAGTGGGATTCGAACCTAGGGTCCAAATGTTTTAGTAGGCGAAGACAGTTCATGCCTCAGACGACGCCGCCAATGCGATGAGGTGAACGTGGTCATAGCAACTCTAAAATAGGTCGAGATATCGGAATGCTTGAACCTGAGGTACGGAATATTATAAAACACACAAGCGAATAAAAGGAAAATGTCAGAGCTGCATCTGCTTTTTTTGTGGTTTGCAAACATCTACAAGGAATAGAAGCGTTACAGTGCTAGAAAAGAGCAGCGTTCTTTAACTGTGCGGTTTGAGGATTGCATTCAAAAACGCATTGAGACCAAAGCTTTACATTTGTTTAAAAGAGTGAAAGAAAAAATAATGAAGCAGAAGGAACGTTGAAAGCACGTTTTGGTTGGCTTAATCGATTTAAAAACCGAGTTCAGCTGCATAATGTTAAAGTTACTGGTGTGGCGGCCAGTGCAAGTGAGGACACAGCACCTAAATATCCTGATATTTGAAAAAAGTTATTGAAGATTTTGCTTATATTGATCAACAAATATGTAACGTGGATGAAACCGGTGGATGCTGGACCTAACCTAGATCGAAGCATGCAAATTCGCCGAGATGTGGATAAAGCACTCCACGTCTAGGATACATCGTATTGTAACGTATTTACATCATGCAAGAACTGCTGAGCCACACACACTTCCGTTGCTAAGTAATACATGCACGCAAGAATATAAGAAACGGGTTATGCAGTCCATTTCTACGCAATGGAAACACAAACACGACAAACACATTTCCGCTTATCGAACCGTGCTATGCAACGCAGTAACGTCAACAACAATATGGACTGTGTTTTCCGTGGGGTCTGTGCAGAGTGCTTATAGGAGAAGTGAATTCAGAAGCTAAGAGCAGTTGAGGGTATAATGGAGCGTGCCCTTAGTGAATTGAGAAGATTAGTTGAGTACATATTACGACAGAGCAGTATAAAGTGACTGAAGACAAAAAGAACTTTATAATGATTTGAAGTGATAGTTTCTGTGTTAAGAGCCATTGCTAGGAGACGACTAGTGGAAACTGAGAATCCTAATGCGTGTCTGACGTTGAACTGTAAATTGTATAAATCACTGATAGAGCTGTATTAATTATAATGAAAGGGAAACTTGTAACCAAAGTGCTAATAAATCCAATCATCCGAACTAGAACCCGTCATATTCGTCACGCGTACCCCCATACACGTGACAATGTGCATGAAGACTTAAAGAGAGAGAAAAGAGTTCAATCTACGCTGTTAAAGTATTTCGAAAGACAATGAATTTAGACCAACTAACTTGGTTTACATATGATTATAAATTCGAAGAGTGCTAATTCGGATAATGCGATTATTAATGGGATTCATTATCCGCACTAATCAAGGCCTATCTGCATTTTCATTTTTCATTTATAGACAGCAGAAAAGAAAACAATGTTCTGAATTAAATAGTAGCATGTATTACACAAATTACATTTTCTTTTAATTCCACATGAATCAAATTTTGATTTGTTACCGTCGTTCCAAAATATTTTAACTTTGCCCCATTGGTTGCGTAGGAAATCTGAAACAATAGATTAATGCCAACAATAAATGAACTAAAAGAGCGAACATTTAAATAAACTCACAGGATTAATTTCTTGTGATGTGAAATTTCTAGTAGCTCTAGCAGTTTTTAAGGCCTGTGTATGTTGCCCCCCTTCAGAATCTGAACTTCATTCGGTCTGTCGATATGAGTACAGTAAGCGTGCTATCCGCTTGTTAATTCAGATGAATTTCCTGTGTAGCAGCTCCGGCAACAAAAGAGACTCATATCTGCAGTAACAGTCATTCC